AAAAAAAAAAAAAAAAAAAAAAATATATATATATATATATATATATAAGCTGTGTGAGGCCAGGTACTTTTGTTGCTGTGTCCATGGAGTTTCTGGAGCAGCACAGGGCCCTGCAGGGCCAGTGAACATGCATTCAATGGAAGAAGGGGGCTTTGCAGTAGAGCACCCTGCCTGGCTCTGTCTCATGGCCTGTTCTCTTCAGAATATTCACTGTGACTTGGCCCACAGCAAGAATGTGTTTCAAAGCCATAGATAACACAAATAGCTTTCAGAATGAGGGTCAAAATCATCCTTGACTGGATGAAAACATGGTCCCAAGCTAGCTAGGTCAATCTTGTGAGAATACAAAATAGAGACTGATCTCAGTACAACCCAACACTGCAAACACAGCCTCTGACTAGACTAACCTTAGGCTGTGTGGACAGAAGAGACATATCGAGAAGAAGGAAGAAGGCAGTCCTGCTCCACTCCATGCTGGTCAGACCATGTCTCAATCATGGAATCGAATTCTGGGCGCCCAGTTTTACAGCACACATTATTAAGTGCTTATTCCAAAATACAAAACAGAAATGGCCTGGAGACCCTGCCCTCTGAGGGCTGATTTAAGGGGATCTGGGGAGATTTAAGGTGAGGAGAAAAGGCCTGGAGAGTACAAGAGAGCTGTCCGGGGGAAAATGGGTTAGACCCATCCAGTATTACTCCACGGAGTGAAGTATGAGCAACAGATGGAAAGTGCTAAAGTAGATTTGGCTCAATACGAAAAGGCATTTTCTAAAAGGTATTATACCCTCTGAGTACACAAGAGTAGGTCTGTGTCACCACAAGTGGGCAAACACCAGCTAGATGACCATCTATAAGGAATGTTCTGGAAGGTACTCCTGCACTGGATGGTAGGATGCACCATGCAGGCTTCCAACATGAGGGACTGACTGGCCCATAGAGAGGTTTTGTTTGTTCTACAAATGAATTTTTTTTTTTTTTTTTTGCGGTACGTGGGCCTCTAACTGTTGTGGCCTCTCCCGTTGCGGAGCACAGGATCCGGACGCGCAGGCTCAGCGGCCATGGCTCACGGGCCCAACCACTCCGTGGCATGTGGGATCTTCCCGGACTGGGGCACGAACCCACGTCCCCTGCATCGGCAGGCGGACTCCCAACCACTGCGCCACCAGGGAAGCCCTACAAATGAATTTTTTAAAATGCCTTTGGGGGAACACACACTCTGGAGTCCAAACTATTCACACGGCTCCCTATCGTCTTGAATCTTGCTGCTTCACATATCTATGCGACCTGCCCAGCTCCTAAAGGCATTCGAGTTGGCATAATCTGTAATGTCCAGTCCAATTCGAAGATAATTTGCCCCTGAGATGTAACTTCACCACGGAGCTGTCACAGAATTTTCTGCCATTGGAGGATGGAAGAGAGAAGAACTTGGCAAAGAGGTAGAGTAGAATAGCTCAGGGAAGATGGGAACCCCAAACAGCCTAAGGTTGAACCATTTCTTTTGTTCTGCACAACTCCAGCATACATCACACCCTTAAAGATTCCTTTTCTTTTTCTCCCTCCCCTCATTTATGTTTCAATTCCACAGGCTTTTTTTTTTTCCTGAGCCTCTAGGAACTCAGACTACATTAAGTAAAAACTTTCCACTTAGGATTCAGAGCTTTTATCACTAACTCAGCTTAGAAGAGCAACCCTTCAGGTTGACTTCTCTTACTGCTTTCAGCCATTCCAGAGACTCTTGTCAGGGCCCTGACTCCTCTGTGCTGTGGTTGGTGTAATGCTGCCACCTGGTGACTGTTTGGACAAAGTGCCTGCAGCATCACGCTCCTCCCAGGCAGAAATGTTTCACACCCGTGAGATGGTGAAGCAAACCTCCCCGGGGCAGGGTCTACCTACTTGGGAGGGTAAAATCTTAACTCTGTGAGGACAGTCCTGTGCTAGAAAAGGTAATTTCTAGTAAATATTAATATTAATAATGACACTCATTAATGATATTTAATAACATTAGTAATGATTGAATTCTGAAAGATAATATAATATTAAGATGAGGTTCTGCAGTAAAAATGTATATATAATTACAACATCTTTTCCATGTACATAAATTCTTCACGTATGTATTATTGGATATTATCCTCTTCGCAACCCCACAAACAATATCATCAGCATATTTATTCTTTTCCCCATGAGGAGACAGACACAGAGAGTGTTAGTGGCATGCCCAAGGCCACACAACTAGTAACTAGGAGAGTCAGAATCTTAACCCAGTAGTCTTGGCTCCAGATTTTCTAGATGACTCAGCTATGGGAGCAAACTGGATCTTAGTAGCATACATTCTAGAGAGATTAACCCCCCACGCCGAGCTACAGGATTGGCAGAATGAGGGAATCAGCAGTCTAAGGGGCATGACACACTCACGAGGGGATTCGTGGTGGTTTGGTACAGGATCCGCCCAGTAGGCAAGGGTTTGAATAATAAGATATAGCTAGGGGAAAGGGACTGGTAGGGGTAAGGGGTAAGGGAGGGGTAAGCCAAGGCCCCAATCTAGTGGAGTAAGGAAGAGCTATGGCTCCTTGTGCATATTAAGTGCATAGGGAAAATCCTATTGGAGGTGATGAGGCTTCTGAAGTTCTACCTGTCTTGGCCCCAACAGTTTCAGGAACTGGGTTGGGTTGGCCTGGGGGTGCAGGTACTAAGTCCATTACTCTTGCCAGAGGCCATATCATCTTCCCCTAAGTCATGCCAACCTTCGTATTACATATTAGGTGTAAGGGTGTGGGAGTGCTAAACGATGCACCTTTGTATTTGTCTATTTGCTTAATCATCTATTATAACCATCCTGGACTAGGCAATGTCTCATCCTTTGTATCATGTAATTCCTACAACCCTAAGAGAATGGTTAGAATTTGCAAACCCGGGACTTCCCTGGTAGCGCAGTGATTAAGAATCCGCCTGCCAATGCAGGGGACACGGATTCGAGCCCTGGTCTGGGAAGATCCCACATACCACGGAGCAACTAAGCCCGTGTGCCACAACTACTGAGCCTGAGCTCTAGAGCCCGTGCTCCGAAACAAGAGAAGCCACCACAATAAGTCTGTGCACCGCAAAGAAAAGTAGCCCCTGCTCACCGCAACTAGAGAAAGCCTGCGCACAGCAACGAAGACCCAGTGCAGCCCAAAATTAATTAATTAATTAATTATTTTAAAAAGAGAATTTGCAAACTCAATTTTGAGAGTTTATTATCGAGTTGTCAGAAAGGTGGTTTATAGGCAGGAAAGATTTTTAGCCTCCTGAAGAAACGAAACCATCTGTAAATTGGACCACATTTTCTTGGCGACTTGCTCAAAATGATTCAGATGCATGTATTTGGCTTCTAAAACACAAGATAAATAAGGCTCTACTCCTGAGAGAAATATGCCCAATTCCACCATTTGATCTCACCATCAAAGAGAAGTTTTCATAATCTGGTTTCTTCACAAATTCACTTAAATGAGTTTCAGAGGTTATTTTTGTTTTGTTTTGTTTTGTTTTTGCTTTACAAAGTACAGTTAACTAAAGGTAACAGTTATAATATAACTATATCCCTTTTAGAGGAAATCACTCTCTCTACTTTTTAGGGACCCTTTATGTTGGTGGTTGTTTATTTTCATTTGGACCAGACTGACTTGAACCTACCAGCATACGAATAAATGGGCTTTAACCGATAATTTTGTTCTAGTGCTCTAATGTATAATTTCATTCCAGAGTTATAAGAGAGGGAATAGCAACCATTTTATATGAGCTTACATTCCAGAATAGTAATTGCTTAGACATTATCTGGAAATTGTAAAGAATAATGATGTACTGGGAGTCCTTCACAGCTTGTGGCACAAATCTTGCACCAAAACAAATATAGAAAAAGTGAGAGGTTGCAAAGTCTGTTTTGTCCATCTTCAGCGAGTTTCAACCCTTCTGTTGAATCTTTGGGTCTCCTAATGTTTACATAGCATGGTGGAAGGGGAATGTAACATTCTGTCCATTGCAGTACATATACACAGATGTATAAATTGTGGTGTTTATTGTTTTCTTAGTGTGGCATTTAAGGCATATGCATTCCCTTCTGGATTTTCTTCCCCTTAGTGAAGATGCATCTCACAATCAGATTGTTATTTCGTTTTAAGAGATGTTCATTCCTCTTCCTTTGTTTCATGTTTTACTCCTTGTAACAGGAAACCAGAGACTCAATTTTACTCCTTGTAACAGGAAACCAGTGACTCAATTTTACACTGATTGCCCTCTGGGTCTTATGGTGATGCACATCACAGAAGTGAAGGATGGGTTCCTGAGGCCTGAGCGAGCTGGGGCAGTATATGTACAAAGCCACCACTGTGAGTCTCAGCTCCTGGTAAATCAAGAAGCATTTAGTGAGTCCTTCCAATGAACGCTCTTCAGCAGTTCTCAAGGCCAGAAATAATCTAGGCTCTCAAGGCTAGCCATTGCTTTAAAAAATTAAAGAGTATCAAACATGAAACTACGTGTATAGACAGGGTGGAAAAACAAGGTAGCACATGTAACGTAGGACTATAGCTGTTCAAAGGAGAATGAAAGGCAACTACGATTTCCTGGGTGCCTACTGTATGGTGCCTTCTGTGTTACCTTCCCATTCTGTTAATTCCACAAATACTTACTGAGTGCTATACCAAGCGCTTTATTTATGCTGTGTCAAATACCCCCCATTTTCATCCATGCCATAAATGTGCCAAGTCCTCCCTCTTTCACAGATGAGGAAACAAGAACTGAGAGAGTTTAATTTTCCAACTTCCCACAACTCCTAAGTCCAGAGTCACATTCAAGCTTAGCTGACACCAAATCCTTGGACAATCCACCCCAAAGATGTGTCCACCTTTAAAATATCTACATCTATGTAAGTGTAATAGTAACATGAGAAAGTGATTCCTTGAAAGATAAGGCAAATTACTACATGGTCCTTCAAGATATAGAAATCTATACAAATGTAATATGAATATAGAAAGTGATTATATGAAAGATAAAATAAGGGTTGAACTAGTAAAAGAAGGTGTTGAGATCAATTCTAGGTATAATATTATGCTAAGTTTCAGTGAGAGAAAAGAACAAAAGCTAATGTATAGCTGGGGTCCTTTGGAGTAAAAAGACCGAGGTTCAAATCCTGGAGAATGGTAGGAGTCATCATCATCATTGATGTTAGTTGAGAGATTGTAAATGCAGTGGTTTTCAATTGGGGGTAATTTTACCCCAGCCATGGCGACATTCGGCAATGTTTGGAGACATGTTCGGCTGTCATAACTGGGGTAGGTGCTGTTGGCATTTAGCGGGTGGAGGTCAGGGATGGTGCCAAACATCCTACAATACATAGGACATCCCTCACAACAAAGGATTCTCGGACCTAAAATGTCAACAATGTCAAGGTTGAAAAACTCAGCTCTAAGGGAATAAACATCTACTTGACCATATCGTTCATGTAGGCAGATGTTAGGGATGAAAGACAGCTGGAGAAGGTGACATTTTAAGAGGCTATAAGGGGAAAAATATTAAATCCTACAGTTAGGTACTCCAGTTTCCATGAAGAAAACCAGATTATTGATCTAACATATCCTGAAAAAATATTATTTTTCTAATTTACATTTTTAAGATAAATTTCATACGGAAATATAAATTAAACCATAGTTGGTTTTATATTTTGTTTAAAATAATAAAGTATAAAAAACCAAAACTGTGTTTAAAACTTCAGAAGAAAGTCACAGAGAGGGTGCGCTCTCGTGGGTTATCTATGATAATGGTTTGCTGATATGATTAATTTCTTATAAATAAGTGATTTCTTCACAATAATTTGTTAATTCGAAATAAAATCTTTCCAGAAAAGAAAATGAGTTGTATATGAAATAAGAGTTTTGGATATTAGAAGATCCATCTATAATGTTTATAATTTAGATTTAAAGAAAAAGAAAATCATACAAATTTTAAAAAGTAATACGAGCCGGGCTTCCCTGGTGGCGCAGTGGTTGAGAGTCCGCCTGCCGATGCAGGGGACACGGGTTCGTGCCCTGGTCCAGGAAGATCCCACATTCCACGGAGCGGCTGGGCCCGTGAGCCATGGCCACTGAAAAGTAATATGAACCAATTCAAAAGTGAAGGGTCAATATTGTTGCTCTCACTATTGAAGATAAAGTTTGTTTTAAGGCCCAGGTTGGGTCAGTAGAGTAGACCTTGCATTGTATTTGAGTTATAACCTAGCCCTTATATTGGAAAAAAAAGAGTTCAAAACAGCCTCCTTTTTTGTTTGCTTGACTAAGGTTTCCTTTTTTCTGAAACTTCTGTATCTGTTCTAAAGCAGAAATGTATTGATAGTTTCAGTGTTTCCAAGTGACCGGGAGATGGCAGCATTTCAGAATCTTCCACATCGCTCCCTTCACAGGGAGCTATACACCATCAGTTATTCCTAAATCCCAGCCCTCATGCCTTCCAATCACAAAGGGTTATCCCAAAATATCTAGATGAAGCATAAATTTCAACGTTTATAACGTTCAGCCTACTTGAGCACCATATTTCCATGGCCCTGGCCTCACAGTCCCTAGAACTTGGTCACCTTGTAAGAATCTACTTAGACCAATCGGCTCATTCCTTAGGGACAAATAACTTCTCATATGACTAGCTACACTGTAGTCCCTGCTGTGACTCAGCTAGATCTTGAGAAGAAAAGAAATGAATCAGGAGAATTGGGTTTGAAATCTACCATGTTTTGACCTGGGACAAGTTAGTTAACTCTTTGTGTCAGAACACTTATCTATAAAAAGAAGTCCTCCATGGTCTGTATGATCTTTTCTAGTTTTAAGAACCATAACTGTAGTCACCTTTCAAGCACTCTTGCCGACATCAATAACCTTCAAATACTCCTCTAACTGGTTCAAATGGACTCACACCGAAGCAACAATAATTGGAGAGTTTTGCTCTGTAAAATGTTGTTCATGTATAAAAATGAGGATAGAATCAAAACCGAACTCTCAAAGCAAAATGATGGAGAGTTTCAATATCAGAATATCACTCAGGACAGTATTTCCATTATGACAATACCAGTAAAAATAGCCATCTGGTTGCTAAGAGCATGGCCATGTGGTTTGGGGGTGAAAGGTAAGAAATCTGGGACTTCCTAGAAAAAGGGGTGGGAGGAATTAACATAGCTGAAAGGCTGGTCTCCACTGAAGGAGGAAGAAGAAGAAAAGGTTAAAAGCATCCTGCCATTGAAATTTTTCCTTTAAAGAGTTTCCCAAAAAAAAAAAAAAAAAAGAGTTTCCCAGAAGCCCCACTCCACCATCTCCACTTCCATCTCATTGCCATCCTATCTGCAAGGGATACTGGGAAATGTAGGTTTTTAGTTAAATGCTCAGTGCCCCTAAGATATTAGAATTCTGTAATTATGAATACAGGAGGGAGAGATGGTGAGTAGGCAACGACCAGACACTACACACTAATCAGGGAGGAGTTTAAAATGGAGGACCTGGTAGATCTAGCATTAGGGTCCAGCTAGCATTAATATTACTCAAAGTCAGATGGGTAGAGATTCTGGGGTTCTGGATCATGGATCTATTCAAAGCATGATCCAACCAGGGCTAGAAAACAAAGAGGATAGCTGGTAAGAACTCAGCAAATCAGCAGAGTGCCTGACAAATAGACCAGGCTTGGTGGCTGCAAGAAGATATTTAAATAAGGAAACCAAGGCAACAGCATCGTCGTACAGAGAAAGTAAGATTTAAAGATTGATTCACATCAGGAACAATGGGAAGCAGGATTGGAAGGACAGAGGTCAATTTTCAATTCCAGTCCATGGAGGATGGGATGCCTAATCTATGCCTACCTCACTCTGAATGGGCTTGTCAGCTGGGTGGGGCTGATCCTACAGATTTCAACCACCAGAGACCGTGGTTAAGCAAAGCTAAGGCTAATAAAAATTATTCTAAGCAGACTTTCTCTAATCAAATACGTACCATCGGAACAAACATGTGCAGTGTTACTGAGATTCAGAGTGAGGCAGTACTCAGCACCAAAGTGAAACAAGATTAAACAAAACTCAACAATTCTAAGCACAGGCTCGCACTATTCTGGCCCTTCACTCTTCCTCTCCTGTCTACATCCTCGCACCCTACCTCCCCCTAGTCTTCCAGAGCGCCTTCTTGTCTCTGGGACATAATGTCTCCAAGGGCCATCCAACAATGGCTGCCCTCCTGTCCCAGCCACATACTGCCTCTACTTGCTTGACGAAGCCAAAGGCTGGGCCTTCCCTATTCTCTTTCTGACACATTAGCAGCAGGGCTTCGTCGCGAACAGGTAAGCCCAGGTGGGAAGGCAGGTGCCACTGTGGTGACCTCTTGCAGTGATTCAGAAAGACCTTCCTTCTCAGCTCTTTCTAATTGTTCTCAGTGCACAGTCCCTGAGATGGAAACAATGAGGACGGTATGCCAGAGTTTCCGGAAGCATTTAGAAGAAATTGAGCAGCACCTTAGAAAACAACAGGCACTCTTTTCCAGGGACATGTCAGAGGAGAAAAGATAATTATCTAAGGGAGCCATAAAAGTAAGTACCAGCCCACACATCTGGAGCAAAAAAAGGTATTCAGGGTAGGACAGATGAGCACCACGGAGCAGGGCTAACGAGAAATTGACCAGCTTTCCTTTTGCTTTCCTGTTCCCATTCTTACTTTCTCAGTGGGAGTCTGAGAGCCATTTGCCGGATAGCAACACTTTAACTCTTCAAGGCCAGGGCTATTTGAGGTCAGGAAATAGGCAGCAGTTGGGAAGAGGGGACTAGCCAGCAGGATATCTTTAATCAGTGTGAACGGGGCTCACGCAAATACGAATATTGGCGGTTGTTAGAGTTTTGGAAATCTGCACTATTTTCATATAGATTAAAAGTATTTGTCCCAAAAGTGGATTAGTCATTGCCTGGGGCTGGGAGTAGGAATAGGGATTAATTTATAAAGGAGTACAAGGTTTCTTACTAGTGAGATGGAAGTGTTCCAAAATTGAATGGTAGTGGTAGTTACACACTTGGCAGATTTACTAACCATCATTGAATTGTACTCTTAGAATAGGTCAACTTTATGGTATGTAAATTATTCTGCAACAGAGTTGTTTAAAAAAAAGAAAAAAGGAAACCTGCCCTCCTAATAAACCTATGCCTGCAACTGATACAAATAAAGATGGTGACTGAAATTGAAGCCCAGAAAAGCACATTGCTTTGCTCAAGGCCACACAGCTAGCTGATGGTGATTCAGGACTAGAACTTGGGTCACCTCACCCTCATGCCAATCTTTTCCTCTGCCCTGTAAACAAGAGATAAGTATTAGTAGCCCATTTTCCAAATGAGAACAAGAAACACGGCTTTTGACCTAATGTGGGCTAAGTCACTGCCAGGATCTGTTGCCATCGCACAGAGCCCAGTCTAGAGAATTCACACCCATCAATGCCTTTCCCACCAGTCTGAGTTAGCTGCTTGGTGTAAATATGGGAAGTTGTCCACACTTTTTGTTCCTGTTTTCCTTTTAGTAGCTTGAGCTTCTCACAGGGAAACCACCTGAACACTACTGCATCAGTATAAGTGGACCGAAGAAAAAAATGGCCAGACTTCACGTGCTAAGATCCACCCCTCCATGGCCCCTGGAGCTGCCTTTCCTCCCAGTGATGGCCAGCGGGCTCCATGCTGCAGTGTGACCCATTTAGCTGCCTTTCCTCCATCCACCTTCGGGAGAAGCACCAGGATGTCTCCTCCAGCTTGGGCAGAATCAGATCCAGCCTCTCTGTCAAACTGTCCTGTTGGAGAAGAGGATACAGATGTCTTCCTCTAGATCAGGGCAGGTTTGTTAACCTTTCTACAAAATGTAAAAGCACATTCTACCCAGAGCAAGAATATCTAGGACTTCCCTGGTGGCGTAGTGGTTGAGAGTCTGCCTGCCGATGCAGGGGACACGGGTTCGTGCCCCAGCCTGGGAGGATCCCACGTGCCACGGAGCGGCTGGGCCCGTGAGCCATGGCCACTGAGCCTGCGCGTCCGGAGCCTGTGCACCGCAACAGGAGAGGCCACAACAGTGAGAGGCCCGCGTACCGCAAAAAAAAAAAAAAAAAAAAGAATATCTAAATTTTCCCCATGGAGAAGTATGTATCAATCCTTCCTCAGCTATTTTTTAATATTCTACTCTATGGTTAAACCTGGGAGGAATATTTTAATACTCAGTCGATACAGAATAAGTGAGCACCTACTATATGCCAGGCATAGGGTGCAGTGGCCAAGATGAATATAATATATATCCCTCAAGGTATATATGGTGTACAGTCTTTGCCCTGCTGAAACTTACAGTCTGCTGGGGGAGACAGAATGTAAACACATAAATAGGTATGAATTTGAAAACTGTGAAAGGGCTTTGAAGGAAATAACAGGGTTTTATGAAAGAGAGAATAACAGGGAGGCTGATTTAGGTCAGGGTATCAGAAGGGCCTGGTTGAAGGAGTGACAACAGGAGGAAGGAAGATCCAGGCCTGAGAGGTAGCAGACTGTCCAAAAGCCTTGAGTTGGTCGGCAAGCCAGACTTATTGAAGAAGCACCCACTAGGTGTCAGCAGCTCCTCTTGTGCTGGAGACAGAGCTGTGAAGGAGACAGAACTCCTACTCAACAAAGCATCGGACGAAGAGTGAGAAACAACCACCGCACCAACAAACAAGTATATAAGATCACGTCAGTTCCTCACCATGGCGAAGACCGTGTGATAATACTGTAGAGAGTGATGTGGGGTGAAAAGCTTACCACATTCATCAGAGTGGTTGGCCTTGCGAAAGGGAAGCTATTTGGGCAAGATACGAATGGTGAGGAAGAGGAAGCCATGTGAAATTCTGGGGAAAGAACATTTAAAGCAGAAGGGGACTTCCCTGGTGGTGCAGTGGTTAAGAACCCACCTGCCAATGCAAGGGACACGGGTTCGAGCCCTGGCCTGGGAAGATCCCACATGCCGCGGAGCAACTAAGCCCGAGCGCCACAACTACTGAGCCTGCGCTCTAGAGCCCGCAAGCCACAACTACTGAGTCCACGTGCCACAACTACTGAAGCCTGCATGCTTAGAACCCATGCTCCACAACAAGAGAAGCCATGACAATGAGAAGCCTGCGCACCGCAACGAAGAGCAGCCCCTGCTCACCGTAGCTAAAGAAAGCCCGCGCACAGCAACGAAGACCCAACACAGCCAAAAATTAATTAATTAATTAATTATTTTTTTAAAAAGAGCCCTTCTCTAAAAAAAAATAAAATAAAATAAAAATAAAGCAGAAGGAATGAGAAGTTTAAAGGCTCTGAGACAGAAACAGCCAGCATTGCTGAGTGGGTAAGTGATAGGGGAGTGGAGGGAGTGGAAGTCTGAGAGGTGGGGCTTCGGGATAACTGTAGGCTGGAGTCTGAGAGCCTGAGTTTTTCCCAAGTGCGATGGAAAGCCACTGTAGGTTTTAAGCAGGGTTGTCCTGTGATCTGCTTTACATTGAAAAGTCGCGCTGACTGCCTTGTGGAAAATGTACCACTGGGGACTTACAGCTGTGCAGGAGCTCCCGTTAGAAGGCAGTTGGTGTAATCCCTGAAGGGAGAAGCAAAACTGTCAAGTTGCTTCCATCCAGCTGGGGAGGCTTGTGAGCCCTCCACCCCCCTTTGCCAGTGAAATGCAGGGTAGTGTACACCAGGGCTGAGTGCACTGGCGGTCTCTAAGTGCTACAGGAATTCTCAGGAGCGGGGGATGCATGAAGAATGGAACAGTCAGAAAAACTTCATGGAAAAGTAACTCCTTGAGGGAAGTGCATAATTTATGTAAGATGGGCCAGTGGTGGTTACTTTCCAGCAAGGAAACTAAGAAGCTATTTCTTTTGAAGCTACCCATTACTAGAACCCATCTCATAGCCTATTTCCGTTCTTCATCCTCTTGGCTTTGCGGAAACCCTTTGACTTCATGGGAGCCCTCCTACCCTTCAGACCACCCTGCAGTTCCCTCTGTTGACTATACTTCCTTAGAGTGTGGACATCCCTCTTCTGTCCTCAATTCTCTTCTTTTTCTCTCTCCACACCATCTTTCTCAGTATACACACTCACTCTAGAAGCCCAGTTCCCAGCTCTCTCCAGAATTCCCATCCAGCATTTTGTACTCTCCACAAGATAGTTTCAGCTGGAAGACTTGCTTCCAAATCTCACTCAGTATCTATCTTTTTATTTCTGTGTGATACACAGTGCCCCATGCCAAGTACTTATATGACAATCTCTTATTCTCAAAAGCAGCCCACAGCAAAACTGTTCATTAGACATGGAAAACTTTTTTTTTTCTGAGAACCTAGCTTAAAGCTAAATAAGTTCCATTTTGGAGTTTGGAGTGTGGATAAAGTTCAGACCTGTTTTTGACCTGAGTTGCTTCCACACAAAACAGATGCAAATGAAGATTTGATGGTTGTTATTTCATATAATCAAACTGCATAAAAAGAACTGACCATATAAGTTGCCATATAAAAATGGAAGTCTTGGGCTTCACTGGTGGCGCAGCGGTTGAGAGTCCGCCTGCCGATGCAGGGGACGCGGGTTCGTGTCCCGGTCCGGGAAGATCCCACATGCTGCGGAGCGGCTGGGCCCGTGAGCCATGGCCGCTGAGCCTGTGCGTCCGGAGCCTGTACTCCACAACGGGAAAGGCCACAACAGTGAGAGGCCCGCGTACCGCAAAAAAAAAAAAAAAAAAAAATAGAAGTCTTTTGCGTGTGACATGACAGACTTTCCCTCATTTGAGCCTCTCAGTGCTAAGGGAAGTAATTCCCCATTTGAATAGGAGGAAGCTAAGATGGAGAGGATGATCTCCACAGGTAGACACTGAGTCCTGTGCTGTATTATTAATGAGAAGCAACTGTACAGTGGGGTTAAGGACTCAAGCTCTAGAGTTAAATTCAGAAGCTTAAATCCAACTCCACCATCTGTGTTGGATAAACTACTTAACCTTTCTAAGCCTCAGTGTCATCATCTGTACATTACAAGGGTTAATGCGTATATAGCCCTTTAGAGCAAGCCTGGAACATGGTTCCTGTATGATTCCGTATGGAGTACAGCTCATTATGATTACGATGATGATGATAATAAGAGTAGTGGCCCTTTTTGAATATCTACTTACATGCAAGGCACTGGGCTAAGCACTTTATATGCATTATCACTTATCTTCACAACAATCCTGAGAGGCAAAAATTAATACACACACACGCACATATGCATGTACACACACATGCTCAAAAAGACTATAAATTGTCTAAGTTCCAACAACTAGTCAGGGATTGAGCTGACTCTCTGATTCCATGTTTTGCCAGTGGTTCACCATTATGGCTCTGCCAAGCTTTGGGGCTTATGTGCAGCCCACTGATAGGTCCAAACCAACCAAAGTAACCCTGCTTCTGTCTGCATTACCTAGTTAGCTTTAGCAGAGATTTTCCTTTAAAAAAATCTCACTCTATATAAAAGTTTGAAAAGCACTGTACTATGTTAATGACAAATGACTCTTGCAGTCAAAGGCAGGTTCTGAGTTGCTTTCATGTAAAGAGATGACTTCTTCCGCAAAGACTCCTCAGGAACCTACCATCCTAGCAACTCTTAGCTTACTACTGTTTGTCCCATTGCCCAAGAATAATGGCAAGAGTTCCTTTGCAGTCCCTGAATGATTTTCTGGGGAATCTCATTGTTCTATCTTCAGGTTCCAAGATCCTGCATTCTCTTTTTTTCAAAGTTAACCTATCCAAGTTGACTTTATTCAGGAAAACCCAGACTACATATCTGAAATCAGAGATCATTGCAATAAATATTTGTACAAAGTTAATAACATAGAAAACCTTTTAATTGTGAAACCCAGCTCGGGGTTAGAGTCATTCCATTTCAATGAAAAAGAAGAAAAAAAATAAAAATCACACCACCTGATCATTTTCAAATTTACAAGTTGGCAAGGGAACAATTTAACCTCTTTTACATCGAAGGACAGGGGTCCCTTCCTGTATTAATTTTATTCCATCCAGATTTCATTTCAATATTCAAAGCCAAAGGTGTGAATAGAGAAAACTGAGTTGAGAAACAATACTTGGAAACTCGGGTTATATATTTTCCTTGGTTTCATTATGCATGAGTGAAGACCCAGGTTTCACGATGGAGACAAAAGGATAAAACCTTGAAGTTTGCTCTGAACCACAGCATATGCATAGGCTATGTAGATTTATATAAGGATATCCATCTTTCAGTCCACGGAAAAACATTTCCACAAAATCCCATTAGATTTTATTTAACAGATATTCCCTTATATATGCATTTTTGTCTGCAGGTCCGGAATCATCTTTTCTTCAAAAGAAAATAATTTTGCTAAAGTAGAAAAAATAAAGTCACAATATGTTCTAATGACTTGAAAATCTGGTCTAATATAACTGTTTCTTCTTGTTGAGAAATAATTTCTGTGGTATAACAGAGGTCATAAAATAGGACATTTGTGCAGAGATTAAAGGATAAAAGTTTTTTGAGAAGAAAAGTTTCAAAATGTTTAATTGTGCGATGGTGGGTTGCATATCTAATTTCAAATTTTCATTTGAACAACAAAGAACAGCCATAATTTGTAGGGACTGTAGATTATTTGAAATGATGTCAAATCGTCTTTCTTGAAAATGAGAGAATGTGAACAGAAGCCAAAATATTGGTAGCACCTTTCTCTAACCCAAGACTCAGGTTCTAATAGCCTAATTTTCAAACATTAGTAGACCAGAAGTTTAGTATGAGATGCTCCCTCTCTGAGTCAACCTAATTATGTAAAGAAAGAGA